TTTATGAAAGCATAAAATAGTAGCCTAGGTAATTAGAGCCTTCTGGAGAAATGTGGTCTTCATAAAGGAGATGCTTTTTAAATCTGGATCTTGGATCTTCGAGGAAGATTTTCCTCATAATTTGTATAGGGATTCTTAGTATCTGCACTGATCATATGTAATTATCTTAGGGCTTGAGACTTTATAGAGGACTTGACGTCATTCAATGTAACCACACTCTATTAGATATTATATGATATTCTATTATATACCTGATACTTGGCTTTAGATGAGGAATGTTATGTTAAAATGAAATTTTTCTTGTCATCAAGCTTTTGGTACTGGGAAGTGCTTCTAGGTTCAGAGGAGCACTTCTTTTTGACACACAATTAGAACTCTTGACTCAAGCACAATCCACACATTTAACAGGGATGAAGAGCACGAGCTTTGGAGTCAAAGCGTGGGGTGCAAAGGCCCGCCCCACCTTGGGAGCCCCTGCTTGAGGCAATGGACTACTTGATCTTTAGCTTCCCTCACGGACGGCTGTCAGTATTTAAGGGGATAACTCACACAGAGTGCTGGTACACAGGAGGGCTTGTGATGTGCTATAAAGATTATGTCAGCCTTATTAAAATGCTGATACGACACAGCAACATTTTTGATAGCAAAGTGTGACCTGGTTTAAGTAAAATTAAATAAGCAGTCATCTTGATTCTTCCTATAGTTTTTTCTATTTTTATTTTCCTTTGGTGGGGGGGAGGAGTGGGAATAGTGAATACTGGGTGGTGATGAGCAGATGGAATGTTGAGTGTAATGTTCTGTACCTAGTGGTTTCCGACAGTGAAATACTGTATGGGTTTTTTTTTTGTGACTTTCTAGGAATTGATTGTTTTAAAATCTGCTTCAGTTGCCCAAACTCCCATGACTGACAATGGCTTGAGTATTTGATATTTTGTTCCAGAAAACAGATGCAAGGCTCTTTCTTTGTTTTCGCTTTTTGAAAGTGCTACAGTATCACTCACAACATGAGAGGCTTACTTGAAGAGATAGGACCTTTTTAATATTTGCGTTTTTAAAAGCATCTGGCCCTTATTTAACCATCACATTTACATCCAATCCCTGCAGGCATGGTTTTGTTGTTTAAGTTTGGCTAGATGCCCTCTGCAGCAAGCCTTTGCTTTAATGAACACAACCCCACTAAAACTTCTGGAGTCCCCTGCCTACCTCCAACACCGCCCCCCCCCCCCCATATGCTGAGAGCACAGCAAGTTTCATCTTGGATTTCAAATAGGAAGATAAAAATGAGAAAAATACACTGCTGGAGAATCGGCTTTGTGTGGGAGCTACCGGCATGATATATTCAACTTGATGCCCTTCTATTATTTGCAGAAGTGTTTATGTTCTATGAAATGTTCAGCCAGAGCATACAGGAAACCGTAAAAGATTTTATGAGATGTATACACGGTTGAAGGTAGATTTTTAAATGCAACCTGGGAAGGTTCTATCTAAATTCCAGGAGGGCGGATGAGGGACTACTTTCTCTGTAGTGATTCAGTTTTACACAAGGGGTTATATGAACTGGAAAGAAATACCTGATCTGGGAACTATATAAAATTTTTTCATAAAATTAAACCTCATAATTTCCAGACAGGTAAACTTGTTTTCTTTCAGACCAAGGATCTCCGCGTAGGTTTGTCTTGTACATGGTAGAAGCATTAAATGTGGATTGTTTATTATTTAATAGAAACAAAGGACAAACAGTAATAAGTGAATTCTCCCCAGGTACAGGAGTTACAGACACCATTTAAAAAATATTTGTGCCTCTGATGGTTTTTAAATAAAAACTGTTGGTTCTAAAATTGGAACATTATTTTTGAATCTTAATTATTGCAATATGTGGAGGCGGGGAGGTTAATGACACAGTCTCAAAACGGCATGTTCGGAAAGTCACATCCAAATTTAGGTGAAAGGAGAAATATTTCTATTTCCTTTACCCTCCAATCTATGAGGCAGTGTCCATTTCCCACAAGAGAGGCTATTTTTACTTATTTGTTGGCTTTATTTATTTATTTCAAATTTGATCTCTAAAACACAAGGCTACAAAACCAAATTGTTTTGTGTATTCACATTTGATTTAGAATTGAGCCCAATGTGGCTGTTTCTGTTTTGTAGCCTCTACCTCATGAAGTCATTGTGAAGATAAATGAAATGCCAGAGCTAAGGTTCCCGACACAAAGTCGGTGCCCGGAGCATGTTAGTTCCCTTCCCCTGCTTGCTACCTGACATATAACACAGATTATTTAATTACACCACAGTCCCTTTGAAGAGGATTTTAATATAACACTTAGGCTTTAGAATGTGTTCAAATTAGTGTCATTTAAAAAATAAACTTAGGTAATTATCAGAGATAAACATGTCATAAAATCCCCATGTATCTGCTGCAAATCCAGGATGGGGGAGGGAACCTGCAGGCTGAGAATTAGGGACCAGATCTGGTCTGTCTCTGCCATTACTGAGTGACCTTGGGAAAGTCAACTTCCCTCTCCAGGCTACATATTTTCACCTGGAAAATGAGTGGCTGCTTTCAATGATCTTGAAGACCACCATCTTCTGTTCTAACATTTTATGATTTTACCTAACGTTGTAATCTTGAGAGAACAATTTAATGAGGTCGCATTTTCTGAGAGTTTCCTTCTATAAATTTTTTTCTATGCTCGCTGCTTAAGAAAATTTTATTTTACTTCAAATTCAGTGTTGTTGAAAGAGTCAGAGAAAGAACCTAAGCGTAGAAGAGAAAAAAAAAAATTAAAAATATTAATATTGAGCAATTATGGGGACATCTAGGCTGGTCTGGGACAGACATACATGACCTTGTTTTATTCTGAATTCAGCTCACTGGCTTATGATGAAAAATGAAAGGTTATTATATGAACTTACTGGGCAAAACCAGATTTTATAAATAATTACCTGTCAGACTGTTCAAGATAGACAAACATACGCCAGACCAACAAAAACACAGGCCTGTCATATTTCTGAGAGAAATGTACGTTGAGTCTTCCTTCTCTGGGACTATAAGGAGATCAGGTAGAATAAAATGAAGGGAAAAAACCTAAACGTTAAGTTTTCTGCTCCGTGCATACTTTAGAATGTATAATGTGGGAAAGAAGGAATTTTGATGTGAAAAATTAGCCCCTGAAAATTTTATACATCTATAAGCCCGGCAGATCGAAACCAAATACAATAAATGCTGTCGTTTTAAAAGTTAGGCTGTTTACTGCAAGCTTATAATTTTCTATGATTAGGGATGCCAAGAAAAATAAGAATGATGATAAAAAGAAAAGTTTAATCATACATTTCAACAAGCACAGATGGAACATCAAAACCCCTTGGCAATTTTTTGATATTATATATCGACTTTTTTTTCCTTCTTGACATGAAGATTTTTTCCAGAAGGACTAACGCAGAACAGGTAAATGATAGTTAACAAATGTGAATAATGAGGCACTATCGTATTAGCTGAACCTCACAATGATTTGGCCACAGGAGGAAAATCTTTCATGCTTCTTATTTCTGTTTTTATTAATTTCTTTACAAAGGCTGCCTCAGTGTGTGTAAAAACCACGACAAAAATAAAACTGCACAGAAGTCCTATAGAATTAATGAAAAAGCTTCCTTTTTTTGTAATTCAAGTTTAATCGGGAACTGTACAATGACATCTGCTATAGTTGGATTTGTTCTCAAAAGTCAGAGTTCCTCATTTAATGCTGAAAGTACAGATGCCAAAAGGATAGCTCAGCTGTTACCGGCAAGAAATGAGCCAGTCCCAAATTCCAGTTTAGCAGTGGGAATGCTCTGAAGGGAGAAAGCAAATCACCTCGCTCCCCTTCAAGGGATTCTGATTACTTTGCTTCTTTAATTTTTTTTTTAATGTTTATTTACTTTTGAGGGACAAAGAGCAAGAGCAGGGGAGGGGAGGAGGGAGAGGAAGACAGAGAATCTGAATCAGTCTCCATGCTGTCAGTGCAAAGCCTGATGTGGGGCTCGAACTCACAAACCATGAGATCATGACCTGAGCCCAAGTCGGACGCTCAACCGACTGAGCAACCCAGTAATCGGGCGCCCCTGATTTTTTTTTTTTAATGTTTTATTCATTTCTAGGAGAGAGAGAGACAGCGTTAACAGGGGAGGGTCAGAGAGAGAGGGAGTCACAGACTGAAACAGGCTCCAGGCTCCGAGCTGGCAGTCAGCACAGAGCCCGACGCGGGGCCCGAACCCACGAACCGCGAGATCATGACCTAAGCGAAAGTCGGACGCTTAACCGACTAAGCCACCCAGCGGGCGTCCCTGATTAATTAGCTTCTAAATGGGTACAGTGTGTGTGTGTGAGTGGAGGGCCTGGGCCCTGGAGGGACAAGAAGACAGGAGGAGAGGGCCTACATGAGGAAAAACAGGCATGATGGCAGATCCGCAGGAAGTCGGGAAGCAGGCGTGAAAATAACAGAAACGTGAGAAGTGGGGGGAAGGGAGGAGAAGATGGGAATAGACAGCTCATCAGATCAACTAGGTCTTTGATTAGTGTGAGTTTACGAAACGAGTATTTGTCTCTAAAATACACGTGAGATATATAGAATCTGCAAATGTCACAAAGTAAAGAAAGTTGGTGGGACAGTGCCGGGGGGTGGGGTGGGGAGCGGGGGGAGGATTGGCTGTCTTTTTGTTTCCTCTGTCCCAAACCTGGATTACAAAATGCATCAAATAAAACACAGACTAAACACTGGGGGGAAAAAAAAGATACTGCTTTTAAGATATGTGAGCTGAGGGCAGTAAATCCATCCCAAATTAAAATTTCAAAATTGTGTGATCTGCATTCTTGTCCACCTACACACTATCCCAAACATCCTGCCATTAATTAGCTCAGCAGCCCAGCTAGTAAACAAGACTGAGCACCTAGGGGGCTGGGACAGAGCCGGAGTCAGCCAGTTGATAGTCACAACAAACCAACCCACTCCCGGGGACACAGAGAAGGTAAACTTGTATTTTATTTTGTCCAAAGGAAGAGGGGAACAGAAATCACCTTAACAGAACATTGCCTTTCCTGTTGTTACCGTCACAGTCCCCTCAGCAGGCCAGAAAAGCCATCCCATTCCTGCGGTGGGCACTCTGTCAAAGAGAAAGAAATCTGCAATGAATTATCACATCAAGTCCAACCGGGAAAGGACGCAAAAAAGCAAGCAGAGCTTTCTTCCTGTTTTGTAGACTCCTCTGGCCTCTGTCTAAAAGGGCGCTTAATCTGAACATTTTTGGTGGCAAGAGCCACCAGTCTGTCTATTAAAAAGTCAGTGTGGTTAACAAGTGGTTAGGGATTCTATTTTTGGGGAGTGGGAGATATGTAAAGTAAGACATCCCATTTTTGTTAATTGATTGGGTTTGGTTAGGTCAAAGACACGTTGTGCTGAATCTGTTTGTCCTTTATAAACATGTGTTCTCTATTGGACATGCTCAGGAATCACTTCTAATTAACTCTCTTAATAGTCTATAAATTACTGACTCATTATAGCCTTCCCAGGCCTAATTTATAGTCTTAGTGAAAAGCCTGGAAACAGACACTGCTAGAAGCCTTTCCTCCCTGCTGAAATATGGGGATCTCTAAGGAGTTCTGTACAGTAGACACATTATAGAAAACGCGAATCCTACGTAATTATAATATATATATATATGTACATGTATGTACGGATATTCATAATGGGATAAAATATCCCCATAAAAGAATATGGGAAAATGGATACCGATGGCAATAATACAATATATTCTAGTGAATCAAGTAAAACTGCATGATTTTTTTCCCCTGCGAGATATATTCTAATTTCAGAGCTGAAGAGCTGGACTTACATGGGGCCTCTGTGACTTGAGTCTCATAATGAAACCCAGAATGAAACAGAACTAAAATCCAGGAATTAGGAATAAAATTATCCCTTTCACCACCATCTTTTTCATTATTTAAACTAGGAATCGCCATACTTGGAGAATTCCTAACCCTCAATTAGATGGACTTTTCCCCTACAATCTGTGCTCAGAAAACCAGGAAAATGACAAAATCTCGCATCAGGGATTTTTGTTTTGCCTTCAACAGCCACATTATGGGAAATGTAGAATGCGTTTGTATGACTAAGATGAAGTTATTGAGATGCTGGAGAGTTCAATTCTAAAAATGGTTAAATTACATTTATAATTATACCCAAAGCAAGAAAAGTGGAACTAAGCTTTGTAGCAAGCCTTCCACCAAATGTGAGGTGAAACAAAACTAGTTTTCTGCATACCTTCCTGTTAATCATAAAATTCAGTTAACTTCAAAATCTTTCCTTCCAATAGTCAGCTTATACGGGATTTACTATGGTTGTCAGGCTTTGGAACACTGGCTGAAATTTCACAGGTCAGTGGCGCGGCTCCCCAGCTCACTCCAAATCGGCATTTCAAGGATGAGAAAACAGTGGCACATTCTATCTTTTCATTCCTCAGGGCTTCCTCTGTGAGCTTGTCTCTTGCTTAAACCATCAGACTTTCTGTGCCTTTGGACACTTTGGGATTGAAGCACACGCTCTAACAAGGACTAGAAAATTCCAACTTTACCCCCTCAGTCTGTGCACTGGAGAACAGTGTTAAGTGAATTCCTTGGAGATCCACAAATAACTCGCAGGGACGGATAGAGTGTCTTCCCACAACCACAGACAGGGAGCTTCAGGCCTTGAAACAGCCCCCAGCACCACAGTTGCCTTAACAGAGGCTTATGCCAAAGTCATACTTTCAGGTTCTTGACCTTGATATTTTAAATTTTACAACCACAGTGACAACCTTCCACATAACATAATATTTAAAGCACAGGGATGGTTTACATGGAGATAAATGGACCTGGGAGTAAAGCTGGATTCCTCATAAAGGTAAATGGTGAAGAGAGTCTTGCTTGAAAAAGGGGTTTTGGCTCAGGAGCAGGTTGGGTGTTAGCCGAGCACACCTGAGAAATTACCAAGGTTCGTCTTTCCAGATGGCCAATAGGAAATGGTTCTCTCTAATATGGAAAGGTTTACTTTCCAATAATCAATTCACTGTCACAGATGATTGTATCACTATTGTTTGCAAATGGCTACAAGACTGGAGACTTTTAGTCACAGAGACTTCAGGCCCTGAAGTTTAACAAGAAAGCCAAAGTTTCGAGCTGCCTCAGATTTCTGGACCAAGTTCTTCCTATTCTAATTCTAAAATAGAGAACAGTCAAACAAACGCGTGTGATGAGTGAAGAGCAATGTCAGCAAACCAATTCCCTAGGGCCCTCCACCCTGAGTCACAGCTTGTTCCTTCGGAGGAACGAGGGATGTATGTTGACTGTGGAGGGTGAGTGTGGAACATCCCCAAGTTGGCGTCCTTTCCGGAGCGAGCAACTTTACAGGAAGATGACGGAGACAACTCATCTTTGTGTCAACTGTGAATTTTCCTGTTTGTGTTGTGGACGTTGAAACTAAATTTACACACTGCTTGGTGTGAGGACCTTCCAGAGGCCATATTCTCATGAAGTATTCTACTTACTCTCCACTGTCAGATCCTGTGAATGATTCCCCAGTTCTGTATCTTAGTACAAACCCAGGCCTTGACTGGACCTAGTTGGGACCACCTCCCCTACTATTAAAAAAGTATAAATTGACCAATAACACAAGCAGACTTCATCCCAACAGCCCAGCTTCTGCATGCTATAAACCACTTCAACTTTATTTTGGATTCAAAAAAGCTCTTTTCAATTACTCGTTGCTCCTATGTGAATTTGTTGAAATTCACATGCTAGACACTCAGATCCTAGACATTCTAGCATCTCTAAAGTTAACAGCAAAAATACTTAGTGTTTTATTTTAAAGGACCGATTGTAGTTCACAGGCTTTCTGCTCCCACCACCCTTAAATTGAGGATTAAGTTAGGTCCCAATTTTTGACATTCATATATTCATTCAGCTTCAAATTATGGCCTGCTGACAGAATCTCAATTTAAGTGGACAAGTTGATGCATTCTACTTACTGCACTGGGCGATGATGGGAAAATTAATTTGTAAGTTTTTGCTTTTAAAATATGACTTTTTTTCTTATCTGCATATAGACAAGCTCGAGAAAAAAATTTAAATCTTAAACTGGTTTATTCTGCCTTTTTATGGGCTATAATGTATTATAAATGTTAAGGAACACAAACTATTAAAAAGAAAAATATTATGATTTTAAACAAAAGATAAACATGCTACAAAACATACCTGTAGCACCTAGTTGAATATAAATGCATGTGCATTATTTGTACCATTAACTTAATTAGTAAAGCTTTAACTACAGGTAAAACTGCTCCTTTCACCAATTTAGATTTACACTTATTCTCCACTACTAGCTTTCCTGATTCTTTTCCACTTTCTCAAACTTTATTTTTTTGAATTAAAAAAAAAGTTTATTTATTTTTCACACACACGCGCGCACACACACACACACACACACACAGTGTGAGCAGGGGAGTGACAGAGAGAGAGGGAGACACAGAATTGGAAGCAGGCTCCAGGCTCTGAGCTGTCAGCACAGAGCCCAACACGGGGCTTGAACTCACCAACTGAGAGACCATGATCTGAGCCAAAGTTAGCTGCTTAACTGACTGAGTCACCTAGGCACCCCCACTTTCTCAAATAAAACAAAAATTTCATCGTAGGGACTGACATCAGCAAGATGGCTACTTAGGAGGTCCCAAAGCTGGTCTCCCCACAAAAAACCAATAAGTAAACAATTATAAATAGACAAAACAGCTCTGGGAAAGCTCTAGATTGCAACAAAGAAGCAGCAGAGACCCTGCAGGGCTCAACAGCTGAGCATAGTTCTACAGAAAAGTGTAAGAAGCATTTTACGTGCATCACCCCATCTCCCAGTCCAGAGCAGCTCAGTGCAAAGAGGAACCCTTTTGGAGGGATTACACCTGATAGGAAAAGGAGAGCAGGGGAACCCTACTAATCCTCATCACTGTCGTGGACATATGTAGACATTGCTACTGAGTACTCACAGTCTTCACCAGCACTGAAGCCAGCTAATGGGGCTGCTTGGGGTTCCCACTGCTGTGTCTTCTCAGCAGTTCTGGAGCTACTGTTGTGGTGAGACTTGGCCCCAGCAGCCCCAGTTGATGTTGTGCCCTACTCTCTGGGATTGGGCTAAAAAAGCACCTTGCCATCTATGAAACCAGAAGTGCTGTTGCTTTCTCTGCTCTGCCTTCAGGGTTCAAAATCATGGTTTTGGCCGACCATCACTAGGCCTGAGTTGCTGCTATTCTATGTCTGACTCCTGGAGTCCTATCACTAGGCTGTGATACTGCAGCTGCTGTTCTCTGTCCCATCCTCTGAGTCCTAAGTCATGCACTGACTTGCCATCAATGGGCTATATTGCTACAGCTCTGTGCCACACCCCTTGGGTCTTTGGCCTGGCATCATGGAGGCCAAGCTGCTGCTGCTCTGCCCCCTGCTGCCAGAGTCAGGACTCTGACCCACATCCCCAGGGCATGCTGTCACTGCATCCCTTACTCAGAGCCTAAGACACTGGTGCATCCTATCATCCCACAGCCTGCGCCACTGCTGCATCTCCCCATCCTGGGGTCCAAATCCCCAGGATGATCCCCAGAGATGCAGACCAGGTTCCTCCGGAGATCTGCACACGTGTGCACATCAGACACTTGGACTACTATTATAACAAGTGCACCTGTACCCCAGGATCCTGGTTTCCCTGCTGCTCTAAGTGCCAGTTCACCAGACCTGGTACCAACAAGTATTCCCTTTGGCTAGAAGTTCCTCCTACAGGAAAAAGAGAAGAACCGGAAGATCCCTGAGCCTCTGCCACCTAGAATTCCAATAGCCCTAGACACTACTGGTGCTTACAGGATCTCTGCTGTCTTGGTCAAAGAAGACCTCAAAGTCTTTTGCCCATGTTGGACTCAGCTGATGAAGGTATACAGAGATTATGCTGCTGTGCCCTCTCCAGAATCAGAGACATGGCACCCTACCCAACCTGAGCTCTCATAGCCACTCTCAGTTGAAAGTCTTTCCCCACCAAAGGCAGTCTGAAAGGCTGAAAAGGTGACTCTTCTCTCAAATAAACAAACAACAATGCAAAGCCACAAGAAATATGG